CCTTGCTCTTCTGTGTAAGCCCGTATATTCTTCTTGATTTTATCAAAATGAGCGTCAAGGATATGGACCGTGAGGGACTTTTTGCAGCCCATTTTACCGATGTTCTTCAACAGGCTCTCAAAAAGCTCTACATAATAGTTTGCCGCCTTTTGATTCCCAAGGAAGCCCCGAACCACTGCAACGAAGCTGTTCCAAGCTGCTTTCTCCGTTCTAGTGGCCATCTTGGTGGAATTCTTTGTGCTGTATAATGTGGCCGCCATTTGACGTTGTTCCTCTCCACATGGAACTCGGTCCGCGGTGTCTCTGCTGTTCCAAAGGCAAATATTATATGGACACTTAGTAAATACGCCTTGGAAACTGTTATGGTCCAGTTCCTTGTACCACGATGATAGTCCAAGTTAGAACCAATAAAGAAGAACTCGAATACGGATATGGAATAACACAGATATATTACAAACAGGAATATATACAGAGAAGTAGAAAGTGTTAGTACGAACAATCAGGTTTAGTAGTAATTGTCTGACCATGACTGTTTTGGACTGCCTCTGACTCGACTGACTGACTCGCTCGCTCTGACTGACTGACTGACAGACTTCTGACGCACATCACTTCACACTTCAGACTGAACTCTAGACTTCAGACGGAACTCCCTGCTTCCTCTTGAGGCGCAGTATTTATTAATTATGGAATAGTCCATTATGTTCTCATGGGTAAGGTCCCATAACAGAAACCCATCGAGAAGGACGCCATTTTTAAATCTCCGATAACCTCGCAACCGTACTCTTCATATTTCATTGACACTAAAATTTAGTCTTAATATTATGCTTAGCTTCTGAAAGGCATCTTTAATAATTCTGATGCACTTCCGAATGACTGTATTATATTTTTCCTCGTATGTACATACACTATATAGGTAATATTATTTCTGTCGGCGTTTGATTTTGTTGTTCCTAATACCTAGATCATATCTTTAGTTGACTCTTTCGCCGACAAGTATGCATTTAAAATTTTCAGAGTTAATAGTCCTTTCTTCTTGCTTTCTTTTACTATCTGGTCTACCAGTTTGTATTTGCCCCTTTTTTTCCTTTTCTTTTAGAGCCTCTCATTAAAACAGAGTCATCAACGGATCTTGTGTTGTTAAGATTCCGCCTGCAAGAATAAAATTCTGATAGTTCTTCTATTTCTCTTACGGTCTTCCTACTTTGCAGATTAAATAAATTCGACGGAAAAATGCAGCCTTGTACTCGTCTTTATACGTTTCTGTATTTTCTGAATTGGTTACTTACATGCGTGAATGCTGTTTGTTCCGAGTAGAGATTATGGATTATACTAATAATAATCCGTTCCCGATGTTAAATTAAGCTTTTCTTATAATCCCCCGTCCTGTTCACACTTCTCCCCGGTCTTTTGAACAGGAGTAGAGGTTGAGCCCTCTTTCTTGTTTAGGATTGGGTTTCCGGTTCGTTCTTCTTCAACCCTATACTTCTAACGCCTCCGCCTAAACTCTGAAATGAATTCTATCATTGGGTTTCTGCTTTCTTCTAAAGTATCTTTCTTCTCCTTCACTACCAGTAAAACACTTTGCGTCTTAGTGGCTTTATTCCATTACTCGGAATGGATTGCTTTTAAAAAAGAAAGAAAAATAAATGCTACAAGATTGAACGTTGGGTGACAAAAAATAGACCCGGCAAGATATTAAAATGAACATGTCATATTTCAGTTGACTGAAATTGGACAACACAATTTCTGACTGTTGTTGAAAATATTCCCTTCATTTTTTTTAAGTTGCTTGTCAACGAATTTAGAGCAAATGAATAACTTTCGATAAGACTTAAAATTGATATTAGTTAACACCAAAATGCACTGATTAGCACCTAGGACAGAATAATTAAAAATAGACATTGATAGAATAATAGAAATTATTTGATACTGTATCCTTATTGTTTAAAATAGACGACCATATGCGCTCACGAATTTCTGTTTCCATTGTATTAATCAGAAACATTCGACGTCAAAGTCATTTTAGAAATTCTGAAGAACATTTCAATTATATAAACGTAAAAGCAGCACGTAATGCATTATAGTAATCAAAATGAAATACACAATTTCTATGATTTTTTTTTCTGAAAAGACCGGACATGTTTTAAATTTAAATGAAACCCCTCGATTATAAAGGCATATTTAGATTTATGCAGAAAGTTTTATCTCCATCTCTATCAAAGCTAAAAAAAAAATCTCAGTATTCTATTCAATTGAAAATAATTAGAAAAAAAATCTCTTCGTAGTGAAATAATTAGAAGCCCTGAAATTCAAAATGTCCGTTCCAATTTTATGGATATATGAATGTATATTTAAGTAGTTGATATAAACTCTGTGACATTAAAATCTAAACCTAATGTATATCCCCCACCTGTAACATCCTAAAAATATGACAACATTTATATTATATCGATTTAAAAATTATTCGAATACAACATTAGCTCCCGTAACTAAGAACACGAGATTCTATTGTTTCGCATGTCGGATTCAAAGTCTTCTGTAACAAACTTTTGTGATTTCAACGAACACTCGTTGTTACTTTCGTAATACTTGTTGTAGTAGAGACTTTGTAATCACAGATACATCTAAAAGAATCCAAGATATCAGTTATGCATAGGGAACATTCAAATTAATTAGTCACGAAATTTAACGCTTTGATTGGTGTTATATAGGAATAAAGTGTCACTGCTGACACTTGAGTTTGAACTTAGATCGCCATTGAGCAAACACAGGCGATCCCATTATTGAATTAAGTAGACCAAGTGACCATAGAGGAAACGCAAAATATCGTGACGACTAACGATCTTCATTTCTAGTCTATCCTCTATTACTATATGGACCGCTATTCTCTACTCTATTCACTATACTATTTCTCTATTCGGATCACTATAAGGTACTATTCAAGCGAATATTATCGAGCAAGTACTATTAGTGCGAGTGATATTAGAAGACGTCTGACATCAGTATTGTTCAACGATGTATTATAGTTGCATGTCATTTCATTCATAAATTGGCTTATTATAGCTAAGATAAGTTTTACAAATAGATGCCAACTTGTTGAAGGCCAAGTAAAATGCAAATTTCAAACACTTTTCAGCACTATATAAGACGATATTCCTAAACAGAACTATTTTTGATATGAAAATCAAAACAGTCCCCGAATAAATGAACAGTAATGAATGAGAGTTAATGAAATAAACCTCTTTTAAAAATCAATATGCAAATTGTTTAAACCTGTAGAGTGATATTGCATAGAAGTATATAATATATAGTACAGGTATGGAGCGTTAGTGTGTACTTAATCATAAAGTAGACCTGGGGCGTTTTAACCTCAAAATTCGTGGAAGAATTAAGCTCCAATTTCACATTTATTCATATAGACTCCATAATATAGGTTTTACTTAATTAGCTATTATGATTCTTCAAATGTTGAATGTATAACTAATTTCTAATTTCTGTTTTGCCATCTTTACACTATACTAATTTTATCTTATAATTTGTCCCCTGTTCTGTCAGCCATGAAATAAAAATAATTGTTTGTACAGAACATAAGGATTTACGTAAATCAAATCGTCTTTAAATTAAATGGTAGAGGAAGAATTATCGTTGAACATTTAAAAGTTAAGATTAAACATTAATTCAATACTTAAATGCAGCGATCAATTTTAAGTTCTTCTGTAGTTTATTGATGCCTATCGCATCTACTTCTCCCTAGCAATTGTGATGATGGCCAAATCATGAGTCCTCCACAGGAGCTAGCTTAAATGTCACCCGATAGGGCGACTTTCACACTAGCTTAACATTTTAGCTAGTTTCAAATTTTAAGTTAAAAAATAAGAATTACTCCACTTGAACTATGAAAGCAACGAAAATGGCTAGTATAATATATTACTATATATTTTAACCTCACATAATCTAGCAACCCTGAATCTGATCTCAACGAAAATCGTTCCTTGCACTTAACTTTTCGTGGGCTTTTGAAATCGGACCAGTGAGAGCGGAGTAGTTGCTTGGACACACACACGCACAAACACACATACTCTGTACTTTATATATAATATTACCAACAATACATTTTGTAATAAAATTACCAATACGTATTTATAATAAAATTACCAGCAATACATTTTTATAATAAAATTATCAACCATACATTTTTATGCTAAAATTTCCAACTAGACATTTTTATAATAAAATTATCAACCATACATTTTTATACTAAAATTCCTAACAATACATTTTTATAATAAAATTAAAATTACAACGTAAATATGCTTTCAGCGTAAACATAATCTCGTATATCAAAAATTCATATACACAGAAGAGAACTTCTTTCAAAACATAAATATAAATAAATAACATAGATATAAAAAAAACTATTTGACATTTTGATCGTGAAAGTGCAGACGACATTTCATGTCTTATTTCGATGTTTTGTAATTATAATACCCGATTTTAAAATCTAAATAAATTTGTTCAGTTTGTAAAACTGTTGCATTTTCGTTAATCTACAATGTATTTTCTACAGCTTTTTTCAAAGAAAACAGTGTAATTTATATAATAAACTTCATATAGTATTCATCGGTTGTTGATCATAGTCAAAATCATCAAGCCAATGCGAACTATTTCTTTCTATAGCTGTATATTATGTGCTACGCAAGGGTTACATACCGTTTTATATTCAGAATTACTTTCTCCTACATCGGTTTCCACCTAAGCCTATAGAACCCAGTTTTTCTACCTATTTACACATAGCTGGGGGATTTAATGTAATGGATCCGACTGGAATTCGAACTCGGCTCTTTGATTCCTCTATTCGTAACGCTAACCTTTACTCCATCATGCCTCTTAAGTGATTAGTAGAATTATTTACCGACTAAACACATTACAATGACAACTGATAATTACTGTAATATTATTTATATAGTCCTTAGTTTGTTCGTTGATAGCTAGCTAGCTAGCTAGCTAGATAGATAGATAGATATTTGATGCTTAGTTTCTGCATATAAATCAATCAGATGAAAGAAAAAAATTAAAGTATTAAGACAAGTATTTCTTAGTTTGTTCGTTGATAGATAGATACGGGCAGACTGGGATAGATAGATAGATAGATAGATAGATAGAAATTTGATGTTATGTTTTTGCATATAAATCAATCAGATGAACGAAACAAATTTAAAGTATTAAGAATAGAGGTGAAAATGTATGCGTTTAATGTAATACTGGGTCAACAAATAGAACGAAAATTTGAAAAAAAGAGTCTCAAGTCATAAAGAGTCAACCTAAATAAAAGAAAACAATGACTAATCTTTCGCTGTTTGAAAAAAGCCTATCGCAAAAATCAAGAGGACTCAAACGACAAAGATGAATGAGCCGGCAAGCCAAAAAGAAATACTCAGAAATAACAATGGCTGACTAATGTATAATCGTTCAATGCAAATGTCACAAGAACGACAGAAAAAAAATTAAGTTGAACAATGATGGAATTAAGATTTAATATAATCAGGAGAGAAATTGATTTATAGAAGTGTGTGAGCTTTTTTTTTGTTCATTTTGGAACAAATGTTCTTGCAAAAATAAATAAATAAATAAATACAAATTAAAATTTAATGATTAATAAAATCCGTTGAAATAAATTTGAATTGTACTGCAAATGAGAATGAAACAAAAGAAATACGACTAATCGACAATAATAAATTGATTCGGTTTAAATTTTAAAATATTCATTCGGTGGCTATCAAGTTTCTTATACGGTTGCTAATTTCTAACGACAAGCAGTAGATAATAATAATGATGTTAATTTTACAAAATATTAATTACAATGTGGAACAATATTCCCTATAATATGGAACAATATTTCCTATAATATGGAACATGTGAAAGTAAGGTTATTGGCGAGAAGTGAATAACTCATTATACTTCCTTCACATTGTTGCAATATAGTGAAATAAAAATAATTGTTTGTACAGAACATAAGGATTTACGTAAATGAAATCGTCTTTAAATTAAATGGTAGACGGAGAATTATCGTTGAACATTTAAAAGTTAAGATTAAACATTAATTCAATACTTAAATGCAGCGATCAATTTTAAGTTCTTCTGTAGTTTATTGATGCCTATCGCATCTACTTCTCCCTAGCAATTGTGATGATGGCCAAATCTTTCTGAATAAGAGGCTTGAAGCAACTGAAATGCGATTCTATATAAAAAGTATCATAAAACGAACATGTGAGCAACGACGAAGTTCTAGAGACAATGGCAACTAAAAGGACTCTTATACTTAATACCAGGAAGATACCGTTAACATTTAACTGGGGCATTCAATGAAGAAGGAGGCATTGGGGAATTTTTGATACTCACAGGAAGGTTTGAAGATAAGAGAGACATGGGGAAAGCAACGCATAATTTACTTGGCGAGCTAGAGGGTTTGGATGGCGCAGCATGGTTTAGGAGTTATGGTAAAAATCAAATCTTTAAAGAACAGGATATTGTTGGAAGCCATGATCGCTAACGTTTTTGAGTGAGACACGTAGGAGAAGAAGAAGAGTCTTCCTATATAGGGAGGCTAGGAGAGTATAATGCATTTCGACGTGGAACATGAAGTATGTGTGCTGAGTTCAATCCCCGATCGATTCATTTTCATTCACTTCGCGCTAATGTCCTTGGAAATATCCTGAATGCATTTCCCCCCAGATATGTATTAAATAGCAGTACAGACTAGGCTCTTTTGCCTTGAGGTGGCGGCTAGTCAAGAAGAATGAAAACTCTCAATTCGAAGCAAGGGTTGGACTCCGTTAGGGCTTAGATGTGTCAATGGTGTTATGATACTGGACACAACTCTTCCTATATGCCAGTGAGTGTTGAAGAGAAAAGTTGAAGCAACAGAGACGTGGATCTACAGTAGAAAACAAGCACAAAACACACACACATATATATATATATATATATATATATATATATATATAGAGAGAGAGAGAGAGAGAGAGATAGATGCGAGCAGACTGAGATAGATAGATAGATAGATAGATAGATAGATAGATAGATAGATAGATCGAAAGAAAGAAACAAACTGAGAAAGATCAGGATATAGATAGATAGATAGATAGATAGATAGATAGATAGATAAAAAGAAAGAAAGAACGAAAGAAAGGAACAGACTGAGAAAGATACAAATTGAGATAGATAGATAGATAGATAGATAGATAGATAGATAGATAGATACGGGCAGACTGAAATAGAAACGAACAAAGATATGAACAGAGCGCAATAGATACGAACAGAAATGTTGAAGCAACAGAGACGTGGTTCTAAAGAAGAAAACTGTGTATATCATTGCATGGAACATGTGAATAATGAGGAAGTTTTACGGAAAATAGGAACAAAGGAAATTTTAAATGAAGTCAAGAAGAAACATAATGTCTGGGACATATAACAAGAAAAAATGTTTGAAAAACTTGGCATTCACAAAACATATTGAAGAAGAAATCAATAAGTAACCCTCTCGAAGACGCCTGTTTAAGTGGATAGCTGAACAGAGACTATTAGGAATAGTAAAAAGACAAAAATTGCTAAGTAGATTTTTAAAAATCAATTCACCCCAAGCAAGGCGATAATGTTACTAAGACGCAAGGAGTTACTGGGAGTCAAACAAAATAAGAAGACTTTAGAAAGAACCGGAAACCCAACCCTAAACAGGAAAAATAATGGAAGGAGTGCGATACTACAAAGCGTAGGGGGTTGTGGAAGGTATACTCGCCCATGTCCTGAAGGAAAACTTATAGAAGAAGAGTCAGAATTGATTTAATCTTAAGAAATTACTGACGTCTGAAAAAATAGGCAAAGAAAAAGATGAATTATGAATCTAATAGGGATGTTTGGGACAAAACATTCTTCTATGGAGTTTGTACATTCCACACGGAAACTGTTTACTGTTTTGATTGTTTCCCATTCTTACTGTCAATCTATCATTGTTCACTTCACACCGTTTTAAAAGATTCTACAGCATTGTATTGGTTAATTTCAAACTTCAAATATTTAATCCATATTTTTTTAGTTCTAGGTTCGGAAGTGTTCGCTTAAATTCCTCTATCATTAACTTCCTCTTGATAATAGCAATTAATTGTTGCTAACCAAATTCTGTCTCCTTTGATCCTTTTTATGTTCTCGTGTATTTTGCTTTCTTAATGTTACATCCTGGTTATGGTTTCAAAATTTTTCAGGAACTGTGTGTTTGATCATTTAAAAGAATGACGCAAATACTGAGCATTAAACGAATTCATTAATTCCTTTTAAATGTTTACTCGCTTATTCTGAAACATCTTGTTTTTTTATTTCATTCTTGGTAAAGATTTTGACACCGTTCTCTTTATAATTTTCCATTTTCTTCTCATAGTGGGAATTAATTGTCGGTAACCAAATTATTTAACCAAATAATCTTTCGTCCTTTTCTAAATTTTAATTCTTATGTTTACGTTCGTTCAGGAATTAGCCGACCAGAGTTCTTCATAGACTCCATTTGTTTTAATATCTGTAAAATTTCTGACCTTTTCATAAAGATAGTGGAATAGTTTCTTACTTTCTCCACGGCTTTAATTCAGTCTGGCTGTTATCCAATACTAGAGAATCAAGTCTACACTCCCATTTAGCCCATAAATGACATACTCTTTGGAAACTCTTTAATTAATTCAGTTACGCATTGACTTGTTCATTCGTAGAGTTTGAAAAAGGTTCAATCATCACTTGGTGATATCTGATGAGTTTCAATGAAGCATCAATCGATTATGTCCGCTATTTAAGGACAAATGTCTTCATTAAATCTTTCAAAGACGAATATGATTCCGTAAATTTAACTGATCTCTTTCTCTTTTACTCATACCAAAATTATTCATATTTCTTTAGCACAGAGGTTTATAGATAAATAATATTAAAAAGCCAGAAGATTTTTTCGGTATTAACTAAACGTGTCCGTGCGCTAAAAATAATCACAATCGTTCTTCCCGGCAGAAGGCAGTCAGTATAGGTCGGTGCAAGAAGCCAAAGCAGCGGCCAGGTCGGTGAGTAGATGGATGACAAAACTGTGACGAAGTCGAATCTTTACAGGAAATGCCATGGCAACGTCATCGGGCTGAATTGCGGATTAACAGTGTACATCGAACTCTTTATCCGGAACGCTGGTCGAGTAATAGGAAAGCCCGCAAGTCTGAGAGCTCGCCGGGAATTAAGCGATGTGATAGATCTTCGATTAAGGTGGCTGTCTGACGCCCGAAGAAACAGAGACGGATAAGTAGAAAATATTTTTAAACATTCATTCACAGAGGACTTATTCTTATGCAGAAGCTTGCATACACCATGTGTAACACACACACACACACACACACACACACACAGAGAAACACAGTCATGCACACACATGCACATCAGCGCTTTATATAAAACAGCGGTCTGCCAAAATTTTGTGGGTGAGAGACACTAAGTATTTTCCACGTTTTGGGAAAAATAAGAAAAGAATCTATTTCATAAATGTAGCAATACAACATGAATTAAAGAATTAAAAATATCTTCTGAACAAAAGAGAAATACGGCATAATGAAAACAAATCTTGTGGAAATATTACAGACCCCAAACGTAAAGGTTTAGCAAACTCAATTCCGAAACCATCTGCTCGTGTAGTGAGCTCCTGACTATCTGCACACCACACACGTGTATTTCTCTTTCAGACGAAGTGAATGCAATAAAAAAAATTACCTGGTCGCAAATCAATCGTAATCAAGCTGATCTCACGATTACTTTAATTATATAACAGGAATAATTACATTTATTTCCTTTTTATTATAATAAACTGAAAAATACATTGACACCGAAATCTCAGAAAATGTGGGACTTGAGGATATCAACAATTCCAGTTATAGTTGGAGATTGTTTGTAAAAAGGTTTCCAATGGACTCACTGAATGGATTGCTGTTAGCCAATGCTTTAAAGAAATACAAAAAATGTTTTCACAATTACTGCCCACATCTTACTATGAGGCTTTATTTATGAAAAATAAGTGTGATTTCTTTTTCAAAATTGTTCATTGTAAAATGCCATGATGTCATTTCTCACTTTATTCTCTGGTTGGGACCCGGAAAGAAATGCGTATACACCAGAAATCAAAGGGGATAAAATAAACATAGGAAAATTATTTAATTACGATATCTTAAAACACACACACACACACACACACACACACACACACATATATATATATATATATATATATATATATATATATATATATATATATATATATATATAAGATTGGTGTATACGGAATAAATTCCAATAACCAACAATTACTATTCTTAAAAGAGTGCTCAATACAGAGAAGAGCGAATATAATTATTTATTTAAAAATTATAACATAAATATGCTTTAAAATCACTACAAAAATAGCCATTTTGTGTCAACACTTCTGGTGTCTTACCAATTGATGATGTTGAATGTAGATTGTAGATTATACAATCTACATTCAACATCATCACTTGATAAGACACCAGAGGTGTTGAAACAAAATGACTATTTTTAGTGATTTTATAACTTATTTATGTTATAATTTTTAAATGAATAATAATTATATATATATATATATATATATATATATATATATATATATATATATATATGGTTTTGGGTGTATTTTTGGCAAAAAATGCTCAATATAAGGGATAGAGCGTATGTTAATATAAACGTGGCTCCTGAGGACAATAACAAACGGCGACACTATGTTAAATGCTCCAACGCAAACTTCTGGCCTAACAGTTGCATTTAGCATGAAACAGACTGTGTGGCTTCTGGGTGTTGACTTAAGGATTCACTTATATATATATATATATATATATATATATATATATATATATATATATATATATATATATATATAACAAAAACAAAAAATATACATTGTGGTAAAGAATGTACAATTTTTATACAAGGCATATTAAAAGCGATATCCTATAAGAGAGAATAACACACAAAAAAAAAGAAAAATGGTGGTGAAAATATAATTACTATAAACGCAGGAAGGAAAACGCGAAGAATACGATAAATAACCAAATCGATTTGCGTCCTCATTCTCCTGAATTCTAATCTAGAACTAAAAGTAGAGTGGACAGTGATCAAAATATAGCCAGTTTATATATATATATATATATATATATATATATATATATATATATATATGTGTGTGTGTGTGTGTGTGTGTGTGTGTGTGTGTGTGTGACACTGGAATCAACACCCAGCGGTGCTCTGTTACTTGCTTCAACACAATCTTTATAACATGTGCGTTGAGTTTTGGCTCAACTTATTTGTTTACTATAAACTAGGCAAATCACCAAACCCCGAAAAATAAATAAATTAAATAAGGAAAAAGAATTTCAATATATAAATAATTAAGTATAAAATATTTAAATCTACGAATGAACATATCAAGACAAGTAACGGTAATGACAATAATTAATAGTAAATGAGTAAACATTTAACAAATAATGATATAAAATAGCTACAAATAAACTCATTCTGATCCACAATTATTTCCACTCAATGTCATTTAGAATAATTAGAAACATAACCGTTACCGCCCACCCAATAACCGTCATGAAAATTGTTGGTTTTAATACAAGAGTAATAACTGAAACCTCCCACTCATCAAATTTATAAACAAAACATAAAGATGCATGCTTGGAGGTCTCCCTAGCAAATAAGATATGTCACTTCTCGACATCATCCTACATACATTTCTGTTCTTTCTCTTCTTGACGTCAAAACGCCGCGACCTCTAATCAGAGTCTTTTTTGTGTGTTAACGCCATTCTTCGTTTGTGGGCTTCTTGCCTTATTACAGTTGTTTTGCTTAATTTAAGCTTGCATATTTTGTTTGCATAATATTATTTTTGTCCTGTTCTTTTCTTTCTCTTGCTATTGTTTATTGAAATCTTGTCAATTCTGTTTGTTGAGCATTACTCCGTGTTACATTTAGCCATGGCCAATGACTCTACAATAATACAATAGGCCTTACTACCCATAATGCACCACTGATAAGCATATATAAATAGTCGAGCTCAAACACAACATATATGGCCTGAAGTTTGCGTTGAAGCACGGATAAGACTCTTGTCGCTTGGTGTTGACCTCAGTGTCCAATTTTATATTTAAACACAATGTATCTCCGATACTGATCACATAAATATAGCATAACATAAGACTATATATATATATATATATATATATATATATATATATATATATATATATGGGTAGGTTTAAATTTAACGTAGATCATATTCGATTGGTTGATCTGAGTAAAGCTCACAAACCTTATAACCACCCCGCTTTTATTTTTTTCATAAAAAGTGGCTGTATTTCGCTTTTAAATCTGAATAAATCTTTCGCTCGCCAGTAATTTACAATTGCCTTATGAGTTGAGGGAACCGCAAGAGATTTCCACAGGCCAGAAATGCGAAAAAGGAACCAGAAGTATAGAAATTACGATTACACTTAGCAGTTCCAATCGAAAATGATGAGAACTAGCTGCTAATCATGAATCGAGGGTCCAACGGGGAAAACTCATCAAATCAGTTATCATGAAAGTATTTATAGGAAAGGTACTTGATAGCTATGTTGTGGCGGTGGGAAAGTGACTGAAGTAGAGACAGATTCCAAAGCAGGACCGAAGATATAGCAGATTCTTCTTTGAATTCTGTCAAGAATCTCTAGATTCATAGCAGAAGCAATAGATCATATTTTGCAGCAATATTCGATACGCGGGCAAATAGCAGTTTTATAAAGTGATAAAAATCGGTTCTGTCGAAAAGAATTGTCTAACATAACACAGTCAGGCAACATTTGTAACAGAAAACCTACAAATCGCTTCAATATAATCACCCCCCCGTTCATGTCACTAGTAAACGTTACAGCGACATGGCGCAACGTTTTACTCTCCTGAATCTTAGCGTGAGTTATGCTAATGGAAGGTTAAAGAGGTTCACTTATACGATGTAAAGTAAGTAGTTTCGTTATGGAGAAGTTAAAATTATGCAATGTGGCTGTTTCCACTAGATTTCCAGCAATTGGTTAAATAAGCTAGATTGTGTTGTCTAACCTTGAGCGTTAAACACTCTAAGAGAAAGAAATCTCTGAATTCAAATATCGCTAGGACAAAGGGAAATCGAACCCGGACCGTTCCGATACAAAGCAAGCGTTATACGATTGAACCAATGGGCTTCGTTGACGAAGAAGAAACTGTCTAGACTCGATATAGCGCCGCTACTTACAAAATTCCGTAGTGATACTCATCCAAGTATACGAAACCCACGGCTTCTTTCACCAAGTCGCTCCCCTCCAGAGCATTAGAAGCTGGATGAAGCAAGACTATACAAGTGATCGAAATTTTGGGTACTTTGATTTTTTAGAGTCTGTCTATATTTCTGAGATGAGGTATTATGTACGTTGATTACATTATTCGGACTATTGTCCTCATCTTTGTCGCCCATATTTTTGGCATATCGGGTC